GGCTCACGGGCCCAGCCGCTCCGCGGCATGTGGGATCTTCCCGGACCGGGGCACGAACCCGTGTCCCCTGCATCGGCCGGCGGACTCTCAACCACTGCACCACCAGGGAAGCCCCTATTTTTTTTAATTAATTTGTTTTTTTCTAATATTTGCTATTGTGCAAAATTTGGAAAATATTAAAAATTTTAAACCATTTATAACCCTTGCCCGTGCACATCTGGAAATAAATAATGCCTGGTTTTACCTAACTGATATTATGTACACTTTGTAACCTCCTTGCTTCCCAACAATACACATGCCAGCATTTTCACTCCAAACTCTTTGTAATGGACCTGCGTAATGGTCCATTCTTTAGAATACTTATTTCCATTTTTTCCTGTTATACTTCAGCAAACACTACTGCATAAACAATAAATCTGCGTGATTCAGATGATTAGGATAGAGATAACTGCCAGATTGTTTTTCCCTTTTACCGTTCTATCAGCATCCTTGTCAGGATTGGGCGTTTTAAATTTTCTTTTAACAAGATTATTTATGTTGTCAGGCACGTGGGACTGTCTTGGCGGGCTGTCGTTAAAGTGAGGTTGGGACATGAAGGGTGCAATATTTTTCCTCTATGCCCAGACTGGGACTTGGGCTCCACCTTTTAGAGCGGGTCTTCCTCGGGACTGCAATAAGGACTGATTTCGTTTTCAACCGCCAGGCGTCTCCGTTTTCCTCTCTGAGAAGCGTAGAGTTGGTGAACTGCCTATTTTCTCAGGATTCTCGGTGCTCCGGCTCAAACGTTAACTAACCACCTCTGACCAGAAGTCCTGAAAATGCCTAACCACCTCTGACCAGAGGTCCTGAAAATGCCTACCGTGGGCCCCAGGGAGTGGGCCCGAGCAGGGAGGCGCCCTCTGGCTCCCTCTCCCCGACTTGAAGAAGCAGAAGAAACTGTGCCAGCAAAGGCCGGACCCCCAGCGGCGGCTGGAGACCCAGCCCTTGCAACTTCAATCTTCCCAGGGAGCCCAGGCGGAGACGCTGGTTTAGATAGAGGCGGTAACTGCTTCGAGCTGAGACAGACAACCAGTGACCTGACTGACGCAAACCCCAAACAACGCCCGACTCGGCAGCAGTGATACAGCCCGAGTCCTGAGGTCGCCCGGGGTCCCAGCTGACAGTCGACTAACGCTGAGCTTTCCGGTGGCCCAAGTGCGCACTAGAGGCGAAGCTCGCGTGGGCCGGAGCGCAGGGCGCACGCTCTCCAGGGGCGGTGCTTGAGGCCCGCGGGGCCCGAGCGCCTGAAGCGGGCGGAGCCAGGGCGGACAGGGTAACGCGGCGCACGCGCGGCGGCGATGGCTGTCGCAATGGCGCCCCTTCAGCGGGTTTGGGTGTTGCGGTGCTCCTGCTGCCGCCTCTTCCAGGCGCACCAGGTGGGGCCTCCTCCTCCTCAGAGCATGGGGATGGCGGGCAGGACGAGGTGGGGTCGCGGGGGGGCCAGACCTCCTCCCCCAGGCGTGGGCGCCGTCTCGTGCGGTTGCGGGGTGTGTCTGGGTCCCGGACAAATGACGATGTCTGTCCTGAGAACTAGGTTTTATTGATGTGGCTTCCCCGTAACGTTGTTCTGGGCTTTTTTCGTTTTTTGCTTGGTGGTTGTAAGATTCGCGGAAACCAGCCAATGGTTTCTGCCGAGGCGGCCTTGTGAATTCTATCTGGCGGGTGGTCGGGCACACCAGGTTGAGGGTAGAGGATAGCCTCCATTATGCAGAGCCTAGCCCCCAAAATGGCTCTTTCTTCATTTAAATACAAGGGAAATGATAGTTTTAAAAACTGAGGCACGACTGGGCACCCCTGCTGGCACTCTTTGGCTCTGCCCGTAGTGAGGGACTCGACGCCTACTCAGAGTGTAAATAGCCTCGCGCCTTTAAACAGGATAATCGAAGTTTCTAAAACGTAATGCTTCCCTGACTGAAAACGTAAAATAGGGGATGTCACTTAACCTGTTCTTTCCTGAATCACGTTCTGTCTCGCTGCTTGATGCTGTCAAGGTTGTCATCGTATCCGGTTCTGGTAGTCCCCTGCTAATTTGCTGTGCCCTGAAGAAGGGGAGCATCAAATTGCATACAAAATGTATGTACAAACATAGAAAATGTATGTTTAAAAGCCAGTAAGAGGCTGGGTATGCACCTTTAAGTTCGCTGTGACTTTGTAAGGGTCATTTTAGGGGCTTAGAAACTTTTTACTTATTTCATTGTTTTGGTTCTAGGAGTTGAGAATAAATGGGAATCATTTCCACTTTTCAATTATTATATATATAACGTAGTTCGTGTTCTCATGGTCATTTTCAACTCTGAAAAGTGATTTGAAACCAAGTGGGAAAAGAGGGTTAACAGTTTAATTCCAAGTCGGCTGTGTATCAGGCAGTTTCACACATCTCATTTAATTTCAACAGCCTGTGAATTCTGTATCTTCATTCCCCAGAGGTTACTGTGTGTCCTTCCAGAGCTTTTATTATTTTTTTTAATGCATTTCTTACTTGCATATGTACCTGTAGAAGATACACGGTATTTTTATGGTGTTTGAAGGTAGATGCTGAGAAGTAGAATCTTAGGATATACCCACTTAAATTTGTAATAGATGCTGCTTGTCCTCCTTAGAATCCTTTTAGGTACTTCCCCAAAAGCCCTGATGGTTTTTGTATTAGGATCATATTAATCATGTTAATTTTTATGAATCAACCGAGACATCTTTGTGATGTTAAGCATGGCATTTCATTCCATCTTTTAAAACAGTTTTGGTGCCCCTTGATAACATTTTCTTTGTTGCCTTTACAAATGGATTTATTTCTTTAATTATCTCTTCTAAGTAGATGTTTGCATATAAGCTTACATTAATTTTTGAAGATATATTAATTTTCTACCTAGCCCCTATATTAGATTGTCTTACTGGTCTTAGTAGTTTTTCATTTAGTTATCTTGAGTTTTAAAGAAATAAATCATATCATCCATAAATAAGGATAGTTTTTTTTCCCTTTCCATTTTCATACCTCTTGCTATGTTCTCTTTTCCAATTCCATCAGTTAGTACATCCAGAAAAAAATGGTAAATAATAGTGCAGATCCTTGACTTGTTCTTGACTTTCATAGGAATGCTGGTGGTGATTCTGCAGCTTTAGAGCTAGATGTAAGGCATTTTATTATGTTAAGAGAGAATCCATCTAGTCAGATTTATCAAGAATTGAAATATCATGGAATTTTTTTATGAGAATCACAGATAGTAGAGATCTAATTTGATTTAGTTTCATATGGATAGCCAGTTTTCCAGAACCACTTATTAAATAGTCTCTTCTTTCTTCACCTTTATAATATACTAAATTTTCATACATATGTTGGTTTGTTTCTGGACTCTTTATTCTTTTCCACTGATCTCTTTATTATTTCTGATCTAGTTCCGCCTGTTTCAAATAATTACTTTAGCTATAATTCTGAAATTTCATTGTAGGTGAAAAAGAGTCTCAAATGGACATGCAAAGCTTGTGGAGAGAAGCAGTCATTTTTGCGGGTGAGTCGCAAGCAGCAGAGTGTCTAATACCCATACCAGGAAGCAGGTGGGACCCCAGCCCTGCAGAAACATATTTCTCATGGAACCCAGTGTTCCATTTTTGGCTCAAGTTCATTGGATATAGCGCTCCTGCTCCCTAAGATCATCTTCCTTCAGGAAGCGAAATGAATGGAGCAGTGCCTGGAAAGTTACCTTTCTTTTTTTATTCAGTCTGTAAGTATTTACTGAGTAACTTCTGTATGCAGGCATGGGACACAATGGAAGGTAAGACCATGTTGTTATTGCCTTCACCAATCTGCTCTTGTGGAACAGGATGAGAAACTAAAACACACACATGTAATTTAAAACTAGACTGAGCAAACTGAGAGGAAAGTACAGGGGTCTGTAAGAAGATAACTGAGTAATCAGACCTAACTGGGGATGGGCAGACAGCTGTTGGTAGATGCAGGGGTGTGAGAGGGGGCAGGCAGGTTGTGAAGGTAGTCAGGAGATGAAAGAGCACGTGGACTGGGGGGAGCATGTTGTAAATGCTCTTATTAGCCCAGTTTTTTCACCCAGCATCACAGTTCTTTTCAAGTCCATACTTACCGACCCACCTGATCTCTAATATCACAGGGTCCTCATTGAGCCCCTTGTTCACCTGCTCCAGCCCTTGATGCCACCTCTCCAGCCTCATCTCATCATTCTCCTCCTTCAGCCATAGGGGCTTTTCCTTCTGACCTTGAAACAATCCAAATCTGCTTCCCTCTTAGGGCCTTTGTGCTCATTGTTGGGGCTTCCCCTAGTTAATCTCATTACCCTGATCAGAAATATAGGCGAGTGTGTTTATGTGAGTATTGTCCATCTGAGACTATAAATTCCGTGGGAAGAGAGGGTTTGCCTATTTTACTTATATACCTTTTTTTTTTTTTTTTTTTTTTTTTTTATTTTGGGGCCTCCTCGCCCACGGGCCCAGCCGCTCCGTGGCACGTGGGATCCTCCCGGACCGGGGCACGAACCCGTATCCCCTGCATCGGCAGGCGGACTCTCAACCACTGCGCCACCAGGGAGGCCCTATACCCTTTTTAAAAACATTGAAGTATAGTTGATTTACAATATTATGTTAGTATCAGGTGTATAGCAAAGTGATTCAGTTATACATTTTTTTTTCTTATTTTCCATTATAGTTTATTATAAGAAATTGAATGTAGTTCCCTGTGCTATACAGTAAATCCTTGTTGTTTATCTGTTTTATATAGTGTGTATCTGTTAATCCCATACTCCTAATTTATTCCCCTCCCCCTCTTCCCCTTTTGGTAACCAGAAGTTTATTTTCTATGTCTGTGTGTTTCTGTTTTGTAAATAAATTCACTTGTATTATTTTTTTAGATTCCACATATAAGTGATATCATACAGTATTTGTCTTTGTCTGACTTGCTTCACTTAATATGATACACTCTGGGTCCATCCATGTTGTTGCAAATGGCAATATTTCTTTCTTTTTTATGGCCGAGTAATTTCCCATTGTGTGTGTGTGTGTGTGTATACACACACACACACATACATACACCCCATATCTTCTTTATCCACTCATCTGTTGATGGACACTTATATACCCTTTTTTGTATGTTTTGCTGATGTACTCTTGGCACCTAGCACAGTGCCTGTTACATAGTCAGTGCTTGCTCAAGTAATGTTTGTTGAATGAGTAAGTGACAAATCCCACATTGATGGGCATTTAGGTTGATTTTAGTTTTCATTGTTATGAACAACTCTGCAATGAAGCTTCTTACAAATACCTCTTTCTTCACTTGACCAATTATTTCCTTAGGACGAATTCCTAGAAGTTAAATCAGAGGAATTCTTTTGAGCAAGGTTCTTTTAGTTGCAAGTAATAGGAAAAAAAACACTTCAGCAAAATTTAAAATGTACTGGCAAGGTAATGGCGTATCTTGGGGGGAATCCGAGGAAGGAGCTTCATCCTTGACCCCTTGAAGAACCAACCCCAGGAACTGAAAAGCTGCCAACAACACAAGCATCATCTTTTCCCTCCCTTCTCCTCCCTTCACCCAGTTTCTCCCTATACCTTCCTCCCTCTCTTCCTATCTCCCCTCCTTCCCTTCCTCTCTGTTCCCAGCTCAAAGTAACATACTCCACTCACAGACCACAGAATCTCATTTCACACCAACTGGAATAGCTGAGTCCCATTTATAAAACTGCTGGGAGAAACAATCTGATTGACCTGGTTGATTCAGATGTCCACCGCTGGTCCAGTCAGTTGGGATGGGTGGGAGTGGGGACAGTTTGGTCATCTGTCAGTAAGCGTAGCTGCTGAGGCCTACCTTGAGATTGGGTCTCAGAAGGCAGGGGCTGGCTCATAGCTAGTGACTGCTGCTTGTTTTAGATGTCAACATGTATTTCTGAATTCCTGAGGAAGCTTTGCCTTCCTCTCAGCACCCCCATGCTTGTGCAGTGGTATATGGCTTATGACTGACTAGGCCACAGTAGCGAACAGACACCAAAATTGTGGTGGCTTAACGCAATAGAAGTTGTTTCTCTTGCTCTTGTAACACTCCTGGGAGAGATTGCGATCAGCAGGGCAGCTGTCCTTGGTATGGTCATCCGGGGACCCAGGCACCTGTAATCTTGAGGTTCTGTTATTCCCTGAGGCTTGTCTCCCACTGCCTCTTGCCCCTCAAAGGAGCAAGATCAGGGAGGAGCTACCCAGAAAGGATCTGGAAGTGGCTTACATTCCACTGGGAAGAACCTAGTCTCATGGCCACACCTGACTGCAAGGAAGACTGGAAAATGTAGTCTAGTCTGCTCCCAGATGAGGGGAGAATGCATTTCAGTATTCAGGCAGCAGTCTCTGCTATGCAGGAGAGCATTCACCCTACCAGTTATGCCAGACATAAGTTGTCAGTCATTTTAGAATTTTGTTTTTCAATTTATTTTGTTGACGTATAGCTGAGTTACAATGTTGTGCTAATTTCTGTTGCACAGCAAAGTGGTTCAGTTTTTGTATACATATGTGTGTGTGTGTGTGTGTGTGTATATACACACACACATACACATCCTTTTTCATATTTTTTTCCATTATGGTTTATCACAGAATATTGAATGTAGTTCCCTATGCTATACAGTAGGGCCTTGTTGTTTATCCATTCTATATATAATAGTTTGCATCGCTAATCCCAAACTCCCAATCCATCCCTCCCCCAGCCCACTCCCTCTTGGCAACCATAAGTCAGTTATCAGTCTTTTTAAACTTTGTCTTTCTCCTCTCCAGTTCCTTTCCTCCCATTCTCACTTGAACTTTCCCCAGATGGAATTTCACTTCCCACCAGTCCGCTAAAATTGCTCATGTCAAAGTCAGCAGTGGTCTCTGTGTTGCTAAAAATAATGGTTGGTTCTCAGTCCTCGAGTGACTTGACTTATTGGTAGCATTTGTCAGAGTTTGTCACTTCTTCCTCCTTGAAGCATTGTCTTCACTTGGACTTCTAGTCATCCTGCTCCTGGTTTTCCTCCTATCTTCCTGGCTGTGTTTCAGTCCTCTTTGCTAGTTTTTTTCCCATCTCCTCATCTTCTAAACCTTAGAGTGCTCTAGCACTCAGTTTTTTGACCTCTTGTCTAGCTACACTCATTCCCTTGGTCGTCTGAGATGAGACAATCTGACAATTCTCAAATGTCTATCTCAGACCCCAGGCCTGCCCCTGAACTTGTGTATGCTTCCAACCACTTACCGCTCTGCTGGATATCTAAGAGGCATCCCAAACCTGTATCCCCAAATGAAGCCCTCACCTTACCCTCACCAACCTGCTCTTCCCACAGTCATCCCCAACTCTTAAGTGCCAAATCCCTGTTTCTAGTTGTTTGGGCTAAAAACCTTGAACTCATCCCTGACTCCTCTTTTTCTTTTACACTCTTCATCTGATCCATCAGCAAATTTTGTCAGCCCTACCTTCAGGATATACCCAGACTGTGCCCACTTGCTACCACAGTGGTCTGAGTTGCCTCAGTATTTGCTGCAACCTCCTGACTGGTCACCTGCTTCTGCCATACAGTCTCAGCACCACAGCTGGAGGGTCCTACTGAAACATATGCAAGATCATGTCAGACCTTCCAGGTTAGAGCAACATTCATGCTCCTACAGACAGGGCCAGGTTGGGGCAGGGGGCCCCTTTTCAAAAGCAGAAAAAAAAACTGCTAATTAAAGGTACTAGAATATTAAGCTTTTCCTTTCTTTCATGGTCTCCTGACTTTTCCTGATGTCTTTTATTTACTAGTTTCAAAATTTACTATTTAATATCTTCCTGTGTAAAGAAAAACTAACATTTAAAATTGTGCAACACCATTTATATTGTGCAACACCAGTTATAAATGCAAAGAGCATTTAGTACATATGTGGAACATATGCAGAATAATATAAGAGCATTTGGTGTATACGTAGAATCATCAGAATTGCACAATTTGTATTTTGTAGCTCATACATGCCTACATATTTCATTCCTACCAGAACAGTGGAGATGTTGCACAAAATTAACTATTTTTACTTCACTGCTTGATACACGCACATTCTACCCATACTCTGAACCTTTAGCTCACTGATGAGTAAGGAAGTACTGAGAGGAAAAGGAACTGGGAAAGATTGCCCTATCCTTCACTTTTTTTTCTGTGTCATTATTTTCAGCATAGGCTATTCCAGGGAGGTAACAGGAGTAAGAAAAGATATGACACGTTTCCTTGGTTGTTCATATTTTTTAGAATACCCTTGCCTCCTTTCTGCAACCGAAGCAAGTTCTGATTCCAGTGGAAAGCCCAGCCTCTCAGGCTGAGGTTGCCCCCCACGTACTTTTGTTGTGCTTTATTTTGTGTTGCTGTAAAGAAAGTTCTGATGAGGAAAATAATAAGTAGTAAATGTTCTCTTTTTGGGGAAAAAAAAAAAGACTTGTACACACCGTCTGAACTTGGAGCCTCACTGAATTCCCACACCTTGTGAGTTCACTGCAATTCTGTGCTCCTCAGTCATCAGTCATGCTGTATGCAAAAGGAGTGACAAGAAACAGTGGACACATTTGGTGTCCACGACTCACAAACATGCTTCATTATCTCACCAGACTTTACTTACACAATACAAGTTCAAAGATTATTAAGAATTTCAAGATGGAGACAGCAGAGCAGATCTCATGCCTATAAGGCTGACTCTGCCTGTAACGGGGCCTACACTCTCAAACCTCATCTCCTACCATCTTCCCCCTAGACCATTCAGCTCCAGCCACTTGGCCTCCTCACCGTTCCTCCAAAATGCCAGGCTCAGGGTCTTTGCACTCCTTTCCGTTTCATCGCTTCTGCTGAATGTTCTTCCCCCAGGTATCTATGTGGCTTGTTTCTGCCTATCTTCCTATTTTGTGCTCAGATGTCACCCTCTCAGTGATCCACTCCTTGACGTCGTGAACACACATATAAAATTGTCTACTGTGTCCACACACTGCCCCACCCCGCTTCATTGCCATACTTTCCTCAGAAGCACTTCTCACCATCTGATGGCCATATAGGTGACTTATGTGCTTATTATCTGTCTATTCTCACTACAGTGTGAGCTCCATAATGACAGTAGTGTTTGTCCATTCCTGTATTGTGTTGTCCTTACCTAGTTCAGGGCCTGGCACATAATAGGTGCTTAATAAATATTTATTGAACAAATGAGTGACTGCTAAGTGAAAAAATGTATCTCATCTATTTTATATTCTTTTGATTATGAGTGAGGTGTATCATTTCATGTGTTTATTGGCAATTTGCGTTACTTCTCTTCTGAATTTCTTATGTTCATTAACCAATTTGTGTGGGATTTTGGGTTGAGTTTGGCTTTGATATATAAAGTTCAGGGTGATGGTGGGCAGTCAGATAGACTGAAACTATTAGTCCCTGAGACTGTTAGTTTGTAAATCACTGCAGAAACAGCAGTCATTGTTTGGGTTCCTGCATGGTGCTTTGGGCCTTGTGAAGTACAGTTCTATCCTCCCTGGGTTGCAGCTCTAATGGATCTATTTCTCAGCATTCTGTCAACACTTTTTAAACTTGATATTTTTGTTTGTTTGTTTCTCAGGCTTATGGTGAGGGCTCTGGTGCTGACTGTAGACAACATGTCCAAAAATTAAATCTGCTGCAGGGACAGATTTCAGAGATGTCACTCAGGTATAGTAATTTGAGGGAGGCATGGTTGTCTTGCCCTGTTTTTATCTTGAGTGGATGGTGGAAGTCTATGACGGAGAAATCCCTTAGAGTTCCATGTCTTACAATATGGCAATTAGATACTGAACAATCTTCTCACTGAAATTAATTTAAAATGCCAGCCACAATATTTTAAATGCACTGAGAGATGACAAGAAGGTAAGTAACCATCAGAGGCCAAAAATGAAGCAAAAGCCAAAATCCAGAGAATAAGCAGCTGGGCTGCTGAGGCAATTGAAACCTGTTGCCCTTCAGCTTCCATGCATCTGGGAGGGAAGCAGGAGACAAAGACAAAGCCGAGGGTCTTCACTGTGGGAAGGTCCATAGGAGACCACCACATAAAGCTGAGTCCCCAAAGGACTACACCCTCAGCATACAAATGAACTAGAAATGCACCCCTTCCATAGCAGGGACCCAGCCTGTGTTGACCTTGGCACTGACTGAAGAAGGGAAATACTGCTCCAGGATTTTATAAGCACAAGGAATCTGTCACATGGCCTTTAAGCCTTTTACACATGCTGTGTGAAAAGTCTCAAGCTGAGAACTTATTTTTAAATTGTCCCAGGAACAGAGGTAAATGCAGCTCCTTTTTGGAGCAATACATCTTCAACCCAGGTATCAAAGAATTCCGACATATAAAGTTCCAAGGAGCATATACCCAAAGTTAAAAATCATTTAACTTACTTAAGGAAGTATGTCACCATGAGCAAAAGACAGCAGAAATGACAGAAAAGTCAGACCCAAAAAGAGTTCAGAATACATAATATTTCATGTTTAATATATTTAATGAAATTAAAAGAGGGGGGTTGCTAATATGAGGAGCAAGAGACTTTAAAAAATAACCAGTTTTAAAAAAACCCAAAAAGTTTGTAGAAATGAAAAGTATAGTCATTGAAATTAAAAGTTTAGTGGACCATTGAACAGATCAAGTGCAACTGAAGAGAGAATTAGTGAAATGGAAGACCAATCTGAAGAAATTAATCACAGTGCAGCACAGAAAGATAAAAAGGTGGAAAATATAAGTTCAGAGACATGAAGGATACAGAAAAGAGTTCCAGCAGGAGATAATAAAGAGAAGGGGACAAAGGCAATATTTGCAGGGAAATGAACAGAACATTTTCCAAAATCAAAGGGCTTACATTCTTAGATTCAGGAAACACAGTAAATCCCAAACTAGATGAAAACATTGTGTAGGTAGGAAATCCTAATGAGCCTGTCTATACAAAAGCTACTAGAACTAATAAGTTAATTTAGTAAGATCACAAGGATACATGGTCAACATACAAAACTAAATTTTATTTTTATATAAATGCAGTGAACAGTTGGAAAATCATTTTAAAACTCAAATACCATTTATAATACCATCAAAAAATAAAGGGGCTTCCCTGGTGGTGCAGTGGTTGAGAGTCCGCCTGCCGATGCAGGGGACACGGGTTTGTGCCCCGGTCCGGGAAGATCCCACATGCCACGGAGTGGCTGGGCCCGTGAGCCATGGCCGCTGAGCCTGCACGTCCGGAGCCTATGCTCCGCAACGGGAGAGGCCACAGCAGTGAGAGACCCGCATACCGCAAAAGAAATAAAAAATAATAAAATGAAATAAAATACATAGGGATAAACATAACCCAAAAATGTGCAAGAAATTTTCAGTAAAAACTATAAAACATTGCTGAGAGAAATTAAAGAAGATCTAAATGAAGAAATATGACATGTTCATGGATTGCAAAACTCAATATTGTTAAGATGTCAGTTCATCCTAAATTGATCTGTAGAGTCTGCCATTAGGTTCCAATCAAAATTCCAGCAGTTTTTTTTTTTTTTTTTTAAGAAATTGACAAACTGATCCTAAAATTTATATAGAAATGCAATTGCCAAAACAGTGATGATAAAGAACAAAACTGGAGGACGACTTCTACAGCCTGATTTCAAGATTCACTATAACACTACAGCAATCAAGATAATAGTGTGATTTTGGTGAAAGACTAGACATATAGATAACATCAGAAGGCAAATGAAGGGACTTCCCTGGTGGTCCAGTGGTAAAGAATCCGCCTTATGCAGGGGACATGGGTTCGATCCCTGGTCAGGGAACTAAGATCCCACATGCCGCGGGACAGCTGAGCCTGTGCACCACAACTACTGAGCTCACACGCCTCAACTAGAGAGCCTGTGTGCTGCAAACTACAGAGCCCACATGCCCTTGAACCTGCACGCCACAGCTAGAGAAGAGAAAACACGCACACCACAACTAGAGAGAAGCCCACGTGCCACAACTGAGACCCAACACAGCCAAAAATAAATAAAATAAATAGATTCAATGAAGGATGAAAAAAAGGCAAGTGAATAAACAAATAGCGGTATTTCTGTACAGTACTACTCAGCAGCAAAAACAACGTGGGCAAACCTCAAAAACATTGCTAAGTGAAAGAAATCAGACACAAAAGACCACATACTGTAGGGATGAGTGGTATTCTGGGGAGGGGGAATCACCTACAAAGGCATATAAGGGAACTTTGGGGTGATGACAATTTTCTATATCTTGCTAATTATATCTCAATAAATTTTTTTTCTATATCTTGATGGGAGTAATAGATTCAAAGATAAAATTTACCAAACTCATCTAACTGTACACTTAAATTGTTACATTTTAGTGTGTATTAATTATGAATTATACCTCAATAAGTTAATTTTAAAAGACAAAAAAAATCTGCCCTTAGACACAACAACATAATGAAATTGCAGAACATGGAAGACAAAGGGAAGAGTTGAAAAGTAGCTGGAGAGAAGAGAGATCACCTACACAAGAACAGTAGACACCCAGCTTCTCAGGGGTAACATTAGAAGCGAGAAGACAGACCATTACCTTTATATTGCTGAGAGATGTTCTGGAGTTGATGGAGTTGAGTTCCTGAATCATATTACAGTGAGCAGAGTTCTGGCTAGTAGCTGGTAGGACACTGCTCAACTGGACATTGGAGTATCGACCATGTGGCATGGTAGGCGGTTCATATGCGTGATCTTATTTCATCTTCCTCATCACCCTGTGAGGATAATTGGCTTCTGTTTACAGATGAAGAAACTGAAGTAGAGGTGCCCACATTTGGTAGAGTTGGGGTTCTCATTGTAGTTCTCCAGAGAGAGCTCCAATCTGATCGTGTAATGTAACAACCCTGTCTGACATGGGTCGATGTGGCTTTGGTGCTAACCTTCAGTCCTTGCACTATGAATGTTTTCACTGGCCATCCAGCCCTACTCGAGGCTGCAAAGGTTCCAGCTCCTCACTCTGCTTTATGTGGTAAAAGAGCCCTGCTGTCCCTGGGAGGCTGGATGAAGTCACTATGACACATCAAGCTCAGTAAAATGCCTTCTCTTGTAGTGGTTGAGATATAATACAACTGTAAAGACACTCATATGACCCTATGCAATGGGGACATCTCCATTGCTAATGGGAGGGACTCTCTGCTATCCGAGTTCAGCTGACATTAGTCTCTGTGTTCAGGCACTGAGCAGGGCACATGCACACGTATTGTCTTATTTATATTCACAGTGACCCTTGCAATATTATCCCCATTTGTAAATAAAGAAACTGGGATACAGTGATATACCCAGAATCACACTGTCAGTGACAGCCAGTCATTGGCAAAGCCATGATGCAAACTCTGGTCTCTGGGTTAAGAGTGCCACTTCTGCCCTGTGTCACTTTTCCTCTTGCTCCAAGTAACAGATGGTCCCTCTGCCTTCTGAACTGCTGGAAGATTACCAAATCACATCGAAACAACAGAGATAAGTTCTAAGTTCCCCTAAACAGACTTTGATATCCACATCAAGTCCGTGCATCTTGCCATTCCCATCTTCATTGTCCTTCATCTTCCTGGTCATTTTACAAAAGACAAGTGTACGATCTTTCCCTAAGGTCTCTGGAAGAATCCATAAATGCCGACGAGGAGGAAAATGCACGTCCTTGGCAGGCTGTGCCTGCAAGCCTGCAGGTAAGCCAGCAGCACCATCTCGGCCCAGATGCCTGAGCCGGCTCTGTCACAGAGGGGGGGTTCCATTTATTCATTCATTCCTCATTTCTTCAGCAAACGCTTGTTGATGGTACCGAATGATGAGCACTTGGCTTAAAGCTACAGGGAACTCAAAAATGAATAAACCTATCCCTTTCATATGTGTGGAGACAGCAGTGTAAAATAATTACAATACTGTGAAAAGAGCTTTTTCTTCTGGCTGCTTGGTGAATTCTTCTGAACTTAGCTTGAACTTCACCTCCTTGTGCTTCTCCCCTTGTCCCACAGCACTCTCGGCACACTTGTGGTATAGGGAAGGCATGCTGTTGTAAAGTGCCTGGGTTTCCATGTTCCCTTTCTCCAGACAGTCCCACAGCAGGGCTCACATCCAGTTGTTCATTCCCAGGGCCTGGTTAAAGTAGGTACTCAAACAGTGTTTGGATGGGCAGTGCATGTACGAGCTTGAGTGACTGAGTAGGTGATGCCATTGGTACATCCAAGATGCCATGGGTACGCGGAACACTGTGTCCTGCCAGGGACGGGGGGAGTGGGAACAACTGACAGGCTCCCTGGCAGAGCCCCACTGCTCACAGAATCACACTGGCAACGCCCGCTCTCCAGGTGCTCTTCATATTTTTATTATATCAATAAATAGGGGAGATGCTCGTAAGCACACTAACACATCAGCTCTTGCATATTTGGGTCTATACTTCCAGTTTCTTTACTTACAGACTTAATCTTTCATCATTCCTTCTGTAAGAAACACTTGTTTGCATCCTGGAATTTTCACTTACATCATATCTTCTATGTTGCTATATAGCTTTCAATTCTTTTCATTTCAAAAAAGTACCTACAGAATATAGTGGATATGGCAATATTTATTCCCTTCTTATTGGGCATTTAGGATGTTCGCAAACTTTTGCTACTATAAATATTTGCTATAATTTGTAACACTTTGAACATCTCTATGCCTTTGTCTTCATTTGGAACTACTGGGCCAGGGAGTGTGGACATTTGCAAAGTTCTTGGTAAAGTTCTTGTGACCTGCAGCTTTCCCAGAGTGTGTGCCAGTGTGCTCCAGTCAAGGTATCTGTCTCCCGTTACCTTCCAATCAAATTCCTTTCCTGGTGATGGTGTAGACATGGGTCCTGAGGCCCTTAGGCCTCAGAGTTGCACTGGAAATTTTCAGTAAAGGTGTCTGCTTTCCAACTCTGAGAATAAACTTACTTCCCAATCCTGTAGGAAAAACTCCAGCCCTCAAAGAACCGCTGGCTGAAGTACCTGGAAAGGGACTCCAAAGAACTGCAGCTGGAAGAAGGAGGAGTGTGTTTCAACAGACAGTCCTCATCCAAGAGAGAGAAGCCAGACCCTCCCTTCAGTACAGGCCTGCCTAGAAAAAGGTGCCAAGCTAGTAGCCAATCCAGCCCTCACCCATGCCCACCTTGCTGACCTGCGGTTGGGGGTACTGACGAGCAGCTTCCTGTGGTC